CACGCTTTGTGCAATGGTCCACACCGGGCCAAGGATCACGTCACACTCGCATCCGAATACCGTTGCGGTGGTTGAGTTTTTAATCGAAACCCTGATAGCTACATGGTTGGTGCTTTTCTATTGCCACTGTCTCTTCTACAGCTTCCCCCCATTCGGAGACTTTCATCTTTTTGTGCTCCGCTGTGTTTCGTTTCACCAGTGTTGGAGGCAGTTGCCTCATCAGCATCATCTCTAGCAGCAGCAGCAGCAGCTGGAATCACACACTCCTGCTGACTGCTCACTGTGCACTCTCTTACCACAGTAGATTTGAGTGGACGAGGGAGAGGGCGGCAATTTGACAGGCGCACATTATTGAGTGAAAGGGGCCAGCGGTTTTGGAAGCTTCGCGTTTTACAGTGGATATTGCGAAAGTAAGCAGGAAAAAGAGTTGGAATCATCTCCTGGAGTCACCCATGTGCAGTTTCTCAGACTGGCAACTCAGAGAGTTGTTCAGAAAGACTATTCACCTGTGGACTAAAAAACCGAAAGTAGAAAAAACTCGAAAAAGGGAGAAAATGTTGAATTAAACTGTAGGAAATGAATCCAGGCCAGCTGTGGCCATATGTAGGTTCGTTGAGTAAATATGGAATGCCGTGTGGAGATTCATTAACTTGTACTAAAACCACACGTAAAAACGAAAACAAAATATTTTTAATTAGAAGAGACTGAGCACAAAGATATGGATGAACGTGATCCATAGCTCAGCCTCTCTTACGTGGCAGCAGTTTGTTCCAGATCATCCAACAAGGTGTTCAAGTCCCTTGTTGTCTTCTGATTTAGGCATGAGGAATAGCTGTTCCTTTCCCACGATAATGTGGGCTCCAGACGCTGTAAGTTTTTGCAAGTATCCTTAGATTATACATATATATATATATATATATATGTGTGTGTGTGTCTTTGTGAGTGTTTTGTTTGTTTCCTTATTTTGAATTTGTGCAAGTAACCAACTCACCCGAAGAAGCACACACTCTACAATGGGCATAATTATTGCCATTTGACTATATTAACTGCTATTTTTTTTTAATATATGTATATATATATATATATATATATATATATAACAGAGCCAGCTGGCAAAGTGATTCAAGTTTATTCGTGCCCAGTAGATATGAAGTTGGTACATCATGCTCATGGAAATAAAGTTACTTGCTGCCTGCTCCTCTTTCTATGGAATCTTGATATCTTCGAAGCTTTTACAAAAAGACGAATCTCACACTGTGCAGCAGCGTTTTTGTCAACTTGTGCTTGAATAATTCTTCCTCCTCGGTTAAATGGGTTGTATTGATATTCAAGTAGAAAGAGAGAGAGAAAAATAAACGATTGTAAAGAAAAGGGTGCCAGATCACACCTCAGTGAAAAATCCAAGTCTGCCAATCTACTCGAGGTGCTGCTCCAATTTCCGGTCATTGCTCCGCGCGTGGCATCCAGTATTTTATGCTCCATCCATGCACGAATTGTTTTGTTCTGCCACAGAATACAAATAAGATATGCTTGAATCTTTTGGAACCCCTGTCATCCCGCATTTCGGCAGAAACATTCTATATTGTGCAGGTATAATTTACGGAAAAAGTTCAGACGCGAACCAAAAAGGCGCTGTAACTCTCCGGCTTGGGCATGTCTACTTACCCGAGATGAAACGCGTGCTCCATGTTCTGGATGGGATTGCTTGCATGTTCCGTGCTCTGGACGCCCTGCGCACTAAACGGGGGTGTGTCTGAATTTGACGTAGTCTGAGCTAAAATAAATGAGTCGCTGGGGTTGGGTTTGCAGGCTGGAACCTAGTTTCCCACTGCGATACTGCACATCAATAAGACCTGGCAGCCGCTGAGGATCCCATGGTAAGACCACGTTAGCAACTCAGCAGCGACTTTTTGTTTCTCTTTTGACAAGATGGCCACACAGGAGATAAAAATGAATCGATAGTAATAAATAATTAATCGCAGTCTTCTCCAAGTTTTTGGCTCATTTTACGGCTCTGAGTCGATTTTAACCCTAAACAATCCCTATCAAACCACCGACTTGTGCGCAGCCGCATCAGTACGGAGGCCAGCCGTTCCGTTACTTCAACCAATTCCTGCGTCACATGTCTCCAACCCTCATGCGACCCTTTCAAGTTACAGCTCAGGGAGCGAGAAAGATATCAGCAAAAGAAATCGTATCAAGACCGAAACTTAAATTTCAATCTTCTTTTACGTTGTTGGAAGTTTGTGGGGACAGTATTTGCGGCCTGCGTGGAGAATCTAGCGGTAGGGGAAGGGGGATAATGAAGATCGAAGTCCTCTCCCTGCTTTGGATTCTATTGTCGAACACTGCGGAACGCCCCTAGTTTCATCATTAGTCTTTTTGCAAAGCGTCGCTCTTACATCCACAAATAAAAACTCCCGACGCATCTATCGATAATGTGGCTAGAGTTGCAGCGCAGTTTTTTAAATGGAAAACGGTATCTGATGACCCCTATTATCTAGATCGATACACACAGGGGAATAAATGGGCGGGGTGTAATAGTTAGTGGAACAGTCTGTTCGCGGGAGTGACTCATGGTCAAATCCTGAGTCATATTCGTGTTGACAAATGGAGACAATGAAGGGAAGCAATCAGCCAGCCAGGCATGGAGCTACCTTTTCTCCGTTTACCTTCGCTGCTTGACGTCATGGATCACCCGAGAGATTGGCTCGCTGGCTGGCTGGCTGCGCTTGCGTCTTCCTTGCTTCCTCTCTCGAATGATCCGTCTGCTTGTATATAAAGGAGTAAGAAGCGAGGACGAGTCGCCTCATAGACGGAGAAGAGCATGGTGTGCCTGGCCCAGGTGCTCTGCCTCCCCTTTTTTCCGAGGCACCTACCCCGTATTTTTATCCACAACTTCGTCTCATTACCCGTCGTACTTCACGGTATTGTGTTTTCGAGTGCAGTGCAATGATCAGTCCTCTCCACCCCTGCCTGATACGTGCACATTGTTTTCCGCTAAGTTCTGTGTAAACCTGTTGATGTCTAATCAAGCTTTTTACCCGGTTTCGCGGGCATCTGGTTATCAAGAAACTGGGTTCCTGATACAAATAAAGAAAAAGGCTTTGCGCCGTACATGCGTGGCCGTATATCATGGTGTGAACATCTAGCCGAGACAAGGCGATTTGAAGCTCTCGCCTAAGCAGCAGTGAGTTCGTTATGGTGGAACCTCGAGCATCTAGACCATCCGAGAAGAGGCTCCTCCTATAAATGGCCCTTGTCTCCAATCTGCCTTAGAATTCCGGGGCAGGTTCGCTACAGAGTCTCGCCTTTCGGCAGCCTCGCGAGAGACTGTTTACCATATGTTCGCATATTCACAGCGCTTGGTGTTTTTTTTGCAAAAATTTTCCTTTTAAAACTAGCACTGTCGCACATTCCGAGTGATCCGCTAACCTGTTACCTCTCCCAGTTATTTGACCCGTCGCTGGAAAAGCAGCCAGCGCTACTGTGGGTTTTGACATTTATGAAAGCCTCTCGAAATCCAACCCGGTCCACTGGTCACGATGAAGGTAACAAGCCAAGTGTAGACTTTTCTGCCCGTCACAGTCTTATCCAGCCTGGTCCACAAGGGTTTTGATTATTTCCTTGTTCTTGTCAATATTCACATGGTGCTCTTCAATGCCAAACCGGCTCACTCAGGATCCTGAGAGCAGCGGGGGATGAAGTGACAGCAGGGTCGCGGTTGACTTGTAGCCCAGAATGAAGAAATTATCGCAAATCTCTGATGGTTACCAGGTTCAAATTGCAGCAAGTGGACAACAGGCGTTCTGGAAATGGGGGCATGGATCTTCGTGTTGCCTAGGTGAACGCGGTTTGCCTCGTTTTTTAGGTTCTCTACGGATAACCTCGCGTAGGTGCTGCTGTCCTGCTCAGCTTAGCGAATTCGTCCTCTCCTGACTCCACTTCTCCTAGAAAAAGCCAACGGCTGGGGGCTGCAATTTAACTGTAGGATTTTCACTCGCAAACACCACCAATGAGGTGGCAGAAGACAAAAACAAAAAATAAAAATAAAAATAAAAAACGCCTCGTAAGGTTTGCCTTTCAATCCGCATTAAATCATTACAAGCAACTCATGGGCGTCAAAATCACTTGGAATATTTGTTATAATGTGAGATTTTATCGATAAATGAATAACCTTCATGTTGCTGAAGTAAATAACCTTTTTTCTTGAGCAATTGGAATGTTTATATTCACATATAGATAGATTTTTTTAAATGATTTTCAAAAATATATACATTTTTTTTTGGCTTCTGCTTCTTCTTCTTCTTCTTCTTCCTTAATGCTAATATGAACAACAGCGTTTCAAGTAATGATGTCGATTTTTTCATCCATGTATTGAATCGTAAGTTATATTCAAAAAAAACAAAAACAAAAACAAACAAACAAACAAAACAAAACAAAAAACAAACGAGGTTACGATTCGAAATGACTGAAAAATCATTCATTGTCAGGTTTACGTGTCTGCTTTTCACAATTATCATTGACAATCATCGAAAACCTCAATCTTTTCAAAAAGAAAATCTTACTCTTAAATTTCCTACTTTCTTACAGAAATTCTTACGGTATGCTGACAACTCATTAGTCGATTTTGTAAACAAAAATAACCATCTTGTGCACGGTGGTCGTCATTTGGCTGACTAGAAAATCCTAGACCTAATACAAAATGCTGTTGATGCAATTGAATTGAAACTGCATGTCAGAGAGCGATCGGCAATGGCCCCGAAGCCCAATGCGGACAGTACTCGTACCAGCTCTTGTCCAGGAAAATGCGAAGGTTAATTTTGCAGTACTGTTTCTTCTTAATCTTCTTTGTTGAATTGATTGTTTGCTCGTTTCTTTATTATTTTCGGGATTTTTTTCACGCTATGACACGGTGGGACCCCGAAGAGCTCACCATGAACAAGACAGATTCAGCAGCCACGCCCAGGAAGTTGGGGAGGGTGCAGAAGTGATCGATGGAAGTGAAAAAATACAGTTGCTGAATTGCACAGGAAGGTACATGCGGTCTCTGCCAGACGTCGCGGTGAAATGCGTACCGTAGCTAATCCACATTTCAACCGTTGAATTCTAGCACATGGACTGGTCTCCCTATCTCCGTAACCATTTTGTATGATTTGCAAGGAAACCTCTCAAGGTTTGGACCGTTTCTCCCCACAACTTTTCCTTGCTGCCTGGTGATGGGCGTAAAGGAACGAGACCAATATTGGATAACATCCCAATTGAGGCTCGATGTTTTCCTTCAACACCTATTGCCGAGTCCCCCCCAATGTTAGCTTCTTGATCGTCGTGGGTTACGAATTTTATATCTTCGGTTGCTGCCCGAAGCAGAGTCGGTGTGAGAACGAGGGCTGTTCATACGCCCCATGCTGAAAGTGAAAACCACAACATACAAAGCGATTATTCTTAGTTTATTAAACAGCTCGAAATGGACCGGCGTTGAGTCATCCAGCGGGAAAAGAGAGAAGTGACTTAAATTACCTCTGGGTTTGTCGACGAGGAACTGGTCGGAAGGTAGTCCATAGAAATGCAGTGTTGGAGATGGAGAAATATGAATATTGAGTACCTGTGTTGCCGAGAATTACCAGGCAGTGCAAGTTCGGCGAAGCGACTCGGCGCATCATCCTCAGGTTGGTGAATCATACTTCGAGAAAAAACACAAAAGAAAAAAAAAAAAAACAAAGAAAAAAAAAGGGGAGAAAGGTGGGGGAGAAAAACTACCTCTTCTATCTAATCTGTTGCAAAGGTGATGTCGGAGAGGCGCACGAGGATGCCACTGCACTCCCCACTAATTTAAATCCTTAAATTATACACCGACCCGCCTGGCAAGCCAGATTCCGTTGATGGCACGTGCACCATTTTGAGGACCTAATAGGTTGAATATGAAGCTGAAGCTGGTCCTGACAATCATCGCCAATCCGTGGGCCAATCGCTTCGGACACCGAAACCACACCTTATTTTCTGTAGATTCTGCACACAAACACGTCAACGTTGTTCACTGCTTCGGTGCGTGAACATTCCCAACCGCCCAAAAAGCTTCCCCGGTATAGACATCGTTTGGTCCTTATGCGCCGCGACATGAGAGGGTTAGCTGTGGAGGGCATTGTGTCATTGTATACATGTCCACGCCGTCTGGTGATCTGCAGTGAAATGATACAAAATGTGGGAGAAATCTCGGGTTCTTAAATCCATCCTCACATAGCTTATGCATCACCTAGAACTTTACAGATTTTCTTTGTGGAGAAGCATGAAATTGACGATGCACACGGTCGGCATATCATTGCAACGAAGAATCTAACAATTGTAGATTTTTCCAGAGATTGCACATTTCTTGTCAACTACGAAGAACACGTTTAGCCTGCTTTTCTCCTTAAAGATTCCTTGCAGTATGTAATGCACCTTTCATACGAAAGTCACTCGCTTCCGCGACCACGTCTAGGTCGCTCCTGGAGGTGTTGAGACCTCCCCGACAGTTCATCGAAAACGATGCTGGACTCGTGAAACATACTGAATGCAGAGAGGATGAAATAAGGGCGCTTGTAGCGGCCATAGCAGCCATAGCAGTGGTTGTCTAAGAGCAGTCTTCCTCAGCCATCATTGTGGGTTACATTTATGGCGAGTTGCAGGTGACGAGAATCAGAAAATCACCGTCCAAGATCGTGCATCAGATGTTGCTGGATTTTCGCGGGCAGACCAGTTAGACTTAGTACATTCGAATATGGAGCTTGCCGTATGATTTAGACTTCCTCTTATAGAATCTGAGTGAAGGAGAAGCGGTATTTGTATCCACGACAAGGCTGAGGGAGAACGCGTTGAGGAAACTGCTTCATGTCCAGTCGATTTGAGGATTTGCCTCAGAGATTTCACATGCTTTGAGTTAAGTCTGCAGGACTCGACATCAAAATTAATCTCATCGTGGTTTCACGATTGCTACGACAGGCCATGATGCAGTTTGTTCAGGATCATGTAAAAACGTCATCTGACAACGTTTAGAGTTTCTGACCTTGTCAATATAGATCATGAAGCTTGACCGTTGCCGTTTACATAAGACGCAGTCTAGCATCTCACATGCTTAAATACTCTGCTCAGGATTTCTCCGTCTCTCAATTGCAACTCTCTTTGATGGGGCCAATGTAATTTGTCAACAAACCCCATTCCGCTTTCTCTAATTAGAACTGCATTTAATTCAAATGTGCGCACCACTACGGTGAAATGCAAACTCGTCACCTTGAAAAAAACAAGGCTCCATCAAGGCAAGGCAAGGAGGTAATTTATGCAGATGCTCTCAAATCAGACCTTGAAGAATTAGCTCAAAACAAGCGGGATTCTCGACGGGTTCGTCCTGTGTCTGATCCACGCTGCGGCACAGGTGCAACATCACGGACCAGAAACTGGATCTGCAACACTCACGCGTGGGTATTCGTCCACCAGCAACGCATGGAGTTTCTCTTCGCTGTGACTCGATAAAACCAAACCAGCGAGGACTGCAGCTGCCCGCCAGTGCTAGCTCAGTAACTCTGCAACAAACCTGCATATTTATCTCTAGAATATCTAGAAAAACACACATTGGCAATTTCCGTCTTTCTTTCTGATGTACGAATCATGTACTAGCGATGTGGTGAGGGAGGCAGTCCATTTCTAGAGTGCAGCCAGCAGCCTTCTGGGAATGGACGAGGAGGAGGATGAGGAGCAGGAGCTGTTCTGACAGCAGCCACAGGAAGCATATCTCCAGAGGGAGGGAAGGGGATCAGGCGATGGCTGGAAGGTGGGGGCATCTGCCCAGTCCTACCCATCGCACTTCACCTGTCTGTATATCTGTGTCTATCTGTGTGCCTGTCTGCCTCCTTGCTAATGCTGGTGTGCATCGCTCGTTGGCTGGCTGCCTGGCTGCGGTGTGCATGACGCTCCGGAGATGCACATTCAAAGCTTCCTTCTCTACTGGGGCTGGGGCTGGCCTCTGGTAACATCTGATCGGCTTGCTTGATTGCTTGCTTGCTCTTTCCTTCTCTCCATCGCAAGCACTCGCTCCTACTCCTCCTCTTCTCTGCCATGTCCACTACATGGGAGGTGGGTGATGCTACTACGTAGGTTGGGTCAGAGGCACAACCCCACATATCAGCCTTTTGGATCTCCACTCACAATCAAGTCAAGAAAAATTCTTCTTTTGGAAAGGTAGAAAAACAAGGACACACCCGTCATGAATAAGCAACGAAGAGTCTTGTCTTTGCTCTTAGCTAGATAGATAGATAGAATCACAGTTATAATAAGCAAGTAATGAAGAATTTAGATTGTAGATAGATAGACATAATTGGCTGCTGAGGATCAACCTCTAGATTACGTGACGAGGAAGATGAATTTGGGCAGGTACAAAAAAGTTCAGCATGCCTACTTGAGTTCGGCACCTTTGTGCAGATTAAGGGTAAAAGTGGTCCATTTGAAGACAATATAGGTGAAACATGAAAGGTGAGAATAATAAAAAGGAATCTATGTTATTTCAAAATGGCAATAGTTTTACAATAACAATGGCTGACTCTTGGTTTTAAACTCATTATTTCAGAGAAGTGAGGGACCACCATTGTCATTGTGGAAAGTCTTACCAACTTTTGGTGTTGCTCTTTAATATATATATAAATAAATAAATAAAATTTTATTTATCCTCTATCTAATACTTTTAAGCTTAGAACAAAGGGGAGATGATAGAACTAGACTTGACCCCATGAATGATAAGTCAATAGATAGTTTGTATTTATAAGTTTAATATTAGGTGGATGTGTTAGATCACACATAGCTTTACTTAAAAAATTCAATCATAAAGATTTGTTTTATTTTGTTTGTTTGTTTGTTTGTTTGTTTGTGTTTTTTTCCATGTATAGAAAAACATAATCACAAGCATATGGAGTTATTAATCAAGAATTATTTTAATCTGAACAAATAGATTTATATTATTACATATACTTAAAGAAAAAATATTATTCATTTATTTTTTGTAGATGTAGACTTGCTTATGCTTTTGGTAGAGTTTGTTTGAGCATTCTAAGACTTTTTTAAAGAACATGATTTGTGTTCCTATGCATTTCAAATTTGGATGCATTGATTGAAACTTGCTAGACAATAGATAAGAAGATGACAAAAATTAAGTTCAATACTTCTTGTGCCACTAAAACTTGATCGCTCATGATGACTATCCACAATGCTTGTGCTTCAACCTTGCAAAAAATTTGTAGTTGCCACTATTAAGATTGTTATGTAGCATTTTAAATACTCAATTTCATTCTCTAAATTTTTGTTTATTTGACAAGGTAAGAACTTAAAGGTATTTAATAAGTAGATTATGCATAATAAGAATAAATTTTTATAGATATAAACTATAATTGTAATTAACATCATATAAAATTAATAATTTATGGATGTTCTTTTACTTAGGTTGAACCCTCCAATTAATACATAAGAGACTTTCGTCTTCTATTATAATTTCTATTACATCTTCTAACAAAAAATGATCTCTTGTATAGCAAGCCATTTTGACTTTTGTTAGTCTTAGAAGCTCAATTGGTTACTATTTTTGTCTTCTTATACAACAATTGAGTAAATATATATATATATATATATATATATATATATAACTTAATAAAAAATATAATATCAAAATACTTAAAAAAAAAGTTGATAAAAGATAGAGAGGTAATAAAATATTTAGTATTGATGCTATTTTTTTTATAAAAAGTACTTCTACTTACTTTGTAGAGCAAAAAATAAAATGAAAAATATATATATTAAATAATAATAATATTACATAAATATGTAAGTAAAAATAAAGAAATTATTTTAACAAATATTAATTAAAAAAAACCTTACAATGATACTTTAAAAAGACCAATTGTGAATTAGGATTAAAACCAAGTTTGAAGATACCTAGTTGTTGTTATATTATAAGAAAATTATTAAATAAATGAAAAAAATAAAGATTATATTATAAAAGATCTTAATTAAAAATTTGTACTAACAAATTATTTTTTTAAAAAAATGGATGAAAGGTAGGAAGATAATAAAAATCTAATATAAATATGGTTTTTTTTTACAAAAAATTATCTACTTACTTATAGAACCATAAACAAGATGAAACAAGGTAAATTTTACTATAAATAATATCATAGACATCATTAGATGAAATTAAATATTATATTTTAACAAAAATCACCCAAAAAAATCTTTAAATTGATATCCACAAAAGATTAGTTATGAACCATAATTGAAAGTGAATCTCAAGGCAAAAATCATGTACCTACTACAATTGAAGAATTGTTTTGTTAAGTAGGATTGAAGAGCAAACTTGATAGTATTTCTTTGAGCATTTAGTAAAAAAACTTAAGTAGATAATGACTTTGTGAAAGCATTATAAAGTTGGAATTATTTTAGATAACTCTAGGTTTTGTGAAATATAAAATAAATTTTAACTTAAAAAAATTATAATTTTTATAATAAATATTTAAATAATCATTTTTAAATTTGTAAAAATAATGTTCTTGGATGTGTATTATAAACTTGAACTTAATTAGATGGCTACATCATAGGTAATGAAATTCGAGTGGTTAGGATCTTAGAATATGGATTTTGAAATTTAGTGAGACTTTCTATGATTTTAAGCAGTGTACAAGTTAGATTAAAATTATATTTTTGAATTAATAGTTGACTTTGTTTTTAATATCTAAGAAAAACTTAAAAGAAATTAAATAGGAAAAAAATAAACTATTGATGATAGAAGATTGACAATAAGATTGAAGAAGGAGGATAATCAATACTTAAGCAAATTAATAGTTTTTATTTATTTATTTTTAATATATAAGTTAAATTTTCTTCAAATTTTATATTCTTATTTTTTTATTAGTAGATTTAGTAGTAGAATATTTTTAAATTGAGATATATAGTTAAATTAATAATTATTGAGGTTTTTCATTTGCTATAGAATTTAGTGAACATTGGTTATGATTTAATTAGAATTTATCAAAATTTATTTAAAATTTGATTAGATTTATTTGGAATTTATTTAATATTTTTTAAAATATTCTTTGAAAATTATTTTAGAATTATTTAAGATTATTTATAATTTCTTCAAGATTTCTTTAGCATTGTCTCATTAGTTCTTTAAGATTTTTTTATAATTCTGTTGCAATTTCTTTTAGATTTTTTTATGATTTGATTTAATTTAGATTTTTTTTAGATTTTTAAGTTTTGATTGGAGTTAATTAAGGAATTTTTTGAATATAATAGATTCTTATTTAGTTGTAAGATATAAATTTAGCTTTAATAGCCAAGTGATAGAGACATTGTCAAACAAGACAACGTGTAAAATAAAACCAATACTTACAACAATCGTAAATTTTTTTGTTGATTGAAAAGCAAGATTAGTGAGAAGAATTGATGGAGTTTCTTTGAGCATTTTATTTAAGTAATTTGAATGGATGATAATTTTGTTAGTATTGTACAAAATCAAGGTTGATTTGAGTAATTTTATTTTTTTTTGAATTAAGAAGAATTTATATTTAATAGAAATTATGAGTATTATAGCAAATCAATGAGTGAAAAAATGTAGATTTTATATTTTTAGATTTTTGTAAATTTGAGTTTAAAAAAAGAATAAGATTAAGACTTTTTAAAATTCAAGTGGATTAAAATCTCAGAAATTAGATTTTTGAGGGTGAAAGAGGATTTTTATGTTTTTGAGCAATTTACCCATTGAATAGAGATGATTTTTTTTGACCTAATAATTGAATTTATTCTTAGTATTTTAAAAAATTAAGAATAAGTAAATGGTGCAAAAGTGAGTTATTGATGCTGGAAAATTGACATCAAGGTTAGAAAAAGAAGACAACAAATAAACACGTGAATTAGTTTCTTTTACTCTCAATTGGAATATAAGACTTATTAACAATATTGGAGGCAAAAGTGACATCCATCCAAATATTATTACTACTATTTTTGGAATTACATAGAAAATACTTGTTTTTTTATATATAAATATTTTTCTATAACAAATGAGGTATTTTACCTATTACATCAACTATGATTAAGTTGATATAATTTGCACTACCTAACATAGTATGAGCTTACAAAAAGCAAAAAATTGTGCTAAATGGGCCTTAGTTTAGTGTTACTTGTATACTCCTTGTAAACTTAGTTTCTCATGAAAAACAATTTGAAAAGATGATAAATAGTTATCTAATTGTAGAGCTATGCTACAACCAATAATGTAAATTCTATTAAATAGTATATTAATTGAAAACAGTGTTACAACTTGTATTATTATAACGAAATACATTTTAAGAACTTGATGCATTCTACACAAGGATTGGAGGCAAGTAAATTATTACAAGTATCTACGCTTTATACAAGTATTCAATTTGGCAAAAACATGACTATCATTTCGAAACCACCAAGGAGAATTGGCAATTTGAATCGTTTTAATTGATATTCAATAACAAGATACTTATCTTCAGAGTTAGGTTGTTATGCATTATTCAACAATAGGATTAATTTTTTTTAAAATGTACTAGAAAGAACATACTTTAGCTAATTGTCTCAACAATCAATCCTACTTAAATTGTAAAAACATACATACATTATAAAACTTCTATCCATTAATATTATAAATTATTTGAGATATAATTATATATAGTATTTATAGTAATAAACATAAAGAGATTAATTTAATTTTAAAAGACATATTTTATAAAAATTAAAATACAGAAAATTAGGAATTAAATATTTAAAATTAACAGCACAATAATTATGATATATAATATAAAAATCATAAATTATGTATGTATGTAAATATATATATATAAAATTTCAATAATTAATTTTAGCTTTTTATAAAAAATAAACTACATGCTAAAATATTTAATCATAATTTTAATTTTAATTATTTAAGATAAAAAATAAACACCTTTTTCTATGTTTATGTAATTAAAAATATGTTTCCTAAAATCAAAATTATATAAATCTTTTAAATTATGCTTTATCATTGAAAAAATAAACTTTTACTTTTTAATATTTTTTGTTTCAAATATAAATTTTATAACATAAATATCACATCTATACTAATATATATATATATATATATATATATATATACACACACACACACACACACACATATACTAGAATAAATAGTTATTATTTTGAGAAGTTAAAATATATTTTTTAAAAAATAAAAAATAAAAATATAAATTATACTTATC